CCCCTCACTGTTACTTTGTACATTTCTAAAGTAACGACTGCCTACTGGCAGGTGATAAATAGTGAATGTGTGTGTTCTTAAAGCAGAGCTCCACCCAAAAGGGAAGTTCTGCTTTAAGGACAGCTACCTCGCTCCCCATTAAGGATTGGCACCTTTGGGGAGTGGGCACCCGAATTTGACAGGTACCCGCTCCCACTTCCTAGGCGCTCAGAAATGGAAGGTGTCCTCCCTCCCTCTAGTCTTTTGGGACATGTGACAGGTCCCAGAAGACTACAGGACCATTCATGAAGTGAAGCGCTACTCGCGCATGCACAGTGCGTACCTGACTATGAAGCCACAAGCCATCACAGCCAGGTGCCCACACTGAAGATGCTGGCCTCCAGGAATCCAGGATGGCCGGTGAAACAAGCTGCAGGGGACACACCACGGGACCGAGGAACAGGTAAGTGGCTGTTTTTTTAAAAGTCAGCAGCTACAGTTTTTGTAGCTGCTGACTTTTTTTTTCTATAGGTTGAGTGGAACGCTGCTTTAAGGCTACTTTCACACTGATGTGGTTGCGGTACATTTTCAATATGACATTCGACTCAAAAAACTGCACCAAAAACGTACCAGGTGGGTTTTTTTTTTTATCGCACCAAAAAAATGCAGCAAGCAGGACTTTGAAAAACACTCCTGACCTGCAATGGATCAATGCAAAGTGTTCCAACTGGAATACCATATATTCCAAGGAATAGGTCACACCTCCTTCTTCTGCTTTATTTTACGCAAAAGCAGAAGAAAAACAGATCAGTGTGAAAGCAGCCTCAGTGAATTAACTAACAATTTATCTTTTTTTTTTTTTTTTGCAGTATTTATCTCACATTCGATATTTTACTTTGATGAATTGACTTATCTTATACGATATTTCTGAAAAATGGGTCACGTTACCTTTCTTATTACATGCAAAATCCTTTAGAGAATTGACCCCAATGTATTTTACTGGCAGGATCACCAGGTGAAAAAAAAAAAAAAAGGGAAAAAGCCTGAACAAAAAGAAAAACTTGTGCAGCCACCACATCTTAGGACTGGTAAACTGCAAGAGTTTACATTTCTTTTTTAGGTTTAGCAATACTTTATTTTTTTCCCTTAGGAAACACTTTAGAACCCCAACACTACACAGGGTTCCATTCAAGAACATAAGCTATGGTATACAACCATTAGGCCTCATTTACACAGGTGGCAGTCTCTACTATCCCTATGAAAATTAATCAGAGGATCACCTTTCAGAGGGCAGCAGAGCAGCAGCTTCTTTCAGGCATTTGTTTTTTTTCAGATGCAACTGCTGCAAAGTTTACTTGGCATTGTGAGTTTCATAGGCTGCACCGCCTGTCCAACTCCCCAACTGAAGTCTGCTCATGAAAATGAGGCTGCCAACATAAATTTACTGCGGCTACAAAACAAAGCATCATGGACGCAGTATGTGTACTGACACATCCAGCTGCCATGGTAGGTAGGTTTTAGGTGGGCAGTTGGGGTTGGTAAAAAAAAAAAAAACAGCACATATCAACCGACTTGTTTTTAGTGCCCCTTTGCTGTAAACAAGGCCTTAAAGTAGTTAAGGTGAAAAATGTTTTGCCAATCCCCCCTGCCCCCCCCCCCCCCCCCCCCCCCCCCCCCCCCCCCCCCCCCCCCATGTATAACACTATGGCAACTGCAGATCAAACTGAGGATAAAATGGCAGCTTCCTTGGCTGTAAATGAGGTTAGCAGGTCTGATATTTAAAGGCCAAAGTCACCTTTTACACAAAAAAACAATAAATGGACAACTTTTTGCAGGGAAAAAAATGAGCATTTTTTTTTTTTACTCTGTAGTCTGTAAGATATTGCATGGGTGATCAGCAAACCACGGGTGCAATACCAGGCTCCTGCAGGCACTCAGTACAGCTGTCTACCTGTACTCCGTACAGACAGGCAATTACTGTATAGCAGGAAGAGTCAATGAACTATGAGGATGCTCACCAGTGCCCTCACAGTTCACTGAAAACTTCAAGCCATCGGCCACGGAGACCAACGGTAGATGTAGTTTATATTCATTCACAGGTGGAGCCCCCACATGGCCTCGCTGTGTTTAAATTTTGACAGCAGATGCAGGGAGATGATCCCCGGCCACTGTCACGGAGGAGGAAATCTGGGGGAGAGGAAGCAGAGCTGGAACATGTTACATGATCCAAAGGTGAACCTTTCCTTTATGGCAAAGGGCCAGTTTACTGTCTTTTAAACTTTGGGGGGGGGGGGGGGTCGTACTGTGCCCATTGGAATTAGAAAATGTCCCAGTGTCAGTGGTAGCAAACAATTCCGCAGGCTTGGTGGTCAGCAGGAGTAAAAAAAAATTACAAAACACATGAGGTTAGTATGAAGAGGGAAAATGCCCCCATCATTGCTATCGATGGCAGCAATAGCGCCCAATCATTGGTGTCAGCGGAAGAAATAGTGCCAAATTGTTGGTGTCATTGGGAGGAATAATGCCCCATCATTGCGGTCAGTGAAGAGAATTATGTCCCACTACTGATGTCAGTGGACGGAAAGGTGACTTAACTGTGTTGACAATGTGAGGAATAGCGTCTCATATCAGTGGGAGGAATAAAGCTTCAAGGGCCGGATAAAGGCAAGCAAAAGGCCACATCCAGCCTGCGGGCCACAGTTTGGAGACCACTGCTTTAAGGCCTCATGAACACATTCGTTTAGGCCCATCACTGTCCAATCTCTATGTTTTCAGGCACCTGGGAGGACAGATGCAGCGGCCAGCCCTGTCAAAATCTATGACAGGCTGAAATACATGGCAGCTGGTTTCTGTACTTAGTGGTATTCGCATTTAGGAGCGTAAGGCCAGAACGCAGGAATTCTGCTCAGTACAAGGTCCAGCCGCCAAGTATATCAGCCTGTCAGCCGAGCCTCCCTGAAAACAATGTGGTTTGATGCTGAAAAGCCTAACCACCTGTGTGAATAAGGCCTTAAAGCAGAACTCCTATTGTTTTGGCAGCTTCTACCAAGGAAGCTGCCATCTTAGCCTCTGATTTTCAACTGCAATAGTCCTGCACATGTGATCAGTTATGACACCAACCATTTGATGGTTTGACAGTTTGGTTGAGATCACAACTAATCTGACAGTTACATTCCTGGCATGTGCTGAGATTATAACTGTTAAATCACTGTGTTTAGTTCCGTTTTAATGTGCAAGAATTTCCTCACACTATCATCATTAAACCATTACAACCTACACTAACCGACCACTTTATTAGGTTCACCTGTTAAATTGCCTGGTAGCACAAATTGCTAATCAGACAATCACACAGCAGCAACTCAATGAATTTAGGCATGTTGACGTTGTGAAGACAAACCGAGCATCAGAATGGGGAAGAAAGGGGATTTAAGTGACTTTGAATGCGACATGGTTGTTGGTGCCAGACAGGCTAAGTATTTCAAGTATTTACTTCTGACCTACTGGGATTTTCACACACAACCATCTCTAGGGTTTACAGAGAATGGTCCAAAAAAAGAGAAAATATCCAGTAGGTGGCAGTTGTGTGGACAAAAATGCATTGTTGATGTCAGAGGAGAATGGGCAGAATGGTTGCTGTGACATTCAGATGGTAGGGTCAGAATTTGGTGTAAACAACATGAAAGCATAGATCCATCCTGCCTTGTATCAATTCAGGCTGCTGGTGGTGGTGTAATGGTGTGGGGGATATTTTCTTGGCACTAGCAAGGTGTACCTAATAAAGTGGCCGGTGAGCAGAGGCAGACTGAAAAATCATGGGGCCCCCGGGCAATAGGGGGATCATGGGGCCCGTGTCCTTGCCCAAACTCTAAAAAGCCTATGAAAAAGGTACCAGGGGCATCTCATGGGGCCCCCTACTGACCTCGGGCCCTCGGGCAGTGCCGAGTTTCCAAATGGTCAGTCCGCCCCTGCCGGTGAGTTTATAACAAAATACTACAAAAGGGAGGATCTGCTCTGTGTGAGAAACTTCATAAATAAGGGACACTGGTCACACAGAGAATGTTTGCTGGGGTCCTTCCACTGATCAGAGAGCACGCTGGGGCCCCTCCACTGCACAGAGAGGCGCACCACGCTGGGGCCCCTCCACTGCACAGAGAGGCGCACCACGCTGGGGGCCCCTCCACTGCACAGAGAGGCGCACCACGCTGGGGGCCCCTCCACTGCACAGAGAGGCGCACCACGCTGGGGGCCCCTCCACTGCACAGAGAGGCGCACCACGCTGGGGGCCCCTCCACTGCACTGAGAGGCGCACCACGCTGGGGGCCCCTCCACTGCACAGAGAGGCGCACCACGCTGGGGGCCCCTCCACTGCACAGAGAGGCGCACCACGCTGGGGCCCCTCCACTGCACAGAGAGGCGCACCACGCTGGGGCCCCTCCACTGCTCAGAGAGGCGCACCACGCTGGGGCCCCTCCACTGCTCAGAGAGGCGCACCACGCTGGGGCCCCTCAACTGGTCACACACAGTGAGCACACTGTGTGTGACCAACCACACTGGTCACACACAGTGAGCAGTCTAAGGGCCCCTCAAATGAAAACAAACACAGGAAACCCCGCCCATCTGTCACTCAGACTGCCCAATTCCAAGAGCCTGCGCACCTGTACCATCTGACAGGTAAAGCGCGTTCCCGTGTCTTGTAGCTCCCTAGCCACGCACAGGTAAGGCGCGCCCCCGGCCCCTAGAAGCGTCTAGGCGTCTCTCCTGCACAGCACCTGTCTGCCATGGACCGGCAGTCTGTTTACCCTCTCTGTGTAACGTGCAGCAATGAGAATGGCAGCCTGTCAAGAAGAGAAAGGGTTAAGCAGACAGGGTCCCCTACCCCCCACCCCGGCCCCCTATAGAACATGTCACACGAGCTCGGCATAACGGTCTGGGCCGGCTAATGAATGAACAGCGGCGAGGGTCCCCCGGCCTCCACGGCTGTCCTTCCCCTTGTACACTATTACACAATGCCAGCTACTGACCACAGGTTCTGTCCATCCTCATCCTCACTGGCCGCCGCCCCGCTGTGGCTGTTCCCATAGCCAGCATTGAAGCTGGAGGATGGAGACGAGTAAGAGGCGGCTCTCCCCGCTGCCATCCTAGCGCTCCTTTCCTATGACAGCTGTGTGTGCGGTGATTAGACAGCTTCTCTGCGGAACACCCCCCTCCAGGATTTGGTCTCGACCACCCTTCCGCTGAATAGACAAGGCGCGGTCCCCGGGAAGAAGAACCAGGAGCCCTATGGAGGGGAGGAGGCAGGCGGGAGACAGGAGCACTGGGCGGGGCTGGGACGCAAGGCATGGCGGAGGTGACGTAGTGGCGGCGGTGTGACTCCGCCCACTCAATGTGACTGCTGGATGCTGAATCACCGGCATCCATTCCACACTGTGACCAGGACTGTGGACGGTCATTGTATGGGGGTGGGGGGCAGTATTAAAGTGTCTGAGACAAGTTCTATCGAAACCAGTGCTGTTACCCATAGCAACCAACCAGTCACTCTCTTTTATCTTCAGCTTATAAAATGAAATGCTGATTGGTTGTTTTCTAGTTGAGACAAACTTTGTCTCAGACACTTTTTTAGCTCCCCCACCCCTCAGTATTTATCTCTGTGTTCTTAAACTCTACCAAGGCTAGGTTCACATTTTTTGCAAGTGGGGAACGTGTGAATGCACACCTCCCTGACCTGCAGAGAAACGCGCTGCACTTTAGCAGATGCACAGCGTTGCCATTCATCACAACCCAATGCATCCGCAGTCGTGGCGTGATTTCACATGCGCTAAGGCCACAAATGCTGCAGCATCGCCTTTTTTTTTTTTTCGTGGTCTCAGTGGTGTGTTTTGGAGCAGTATCATTCATTTTGAATGGGCTCTACGCTATAAAAACATGCCAAAGAAGCTCATTTTGGTGCTGAATCAGATGCGTTTTGCATTTGCGTTTTTTGTTATACACTCATGGCAATATCACATCATGTTTTGGGGTGCCAGTAAAAAATGTGGCCATCGTCTGTTTGCTGCAATTCTAGTATAGCACAGAATCGTCTGTTTCTGCCCACAATTCCAATATGCGCAGGTGTGAATGAGGCCATCGTAGGGTGCTGCAGCGATTTTAAAAAAGGATTGGGGACTTCTTTCCCCACGGTAGGGAAGCCCATTGAAATGAATGGACTGTTCTACCAGCGACGTGCTGCGCCAAACCCGGCTCCGTTCACACCTGAGCGTACTGGAATTGCAGACTGAATTGCACAATTCTGCCTGCGATTCCAGATTCACAGCATGCTGGCGGTGCCATCATTTTTTAATGGCACTCCAATCACAGTGCAATTTTGCAGCAATTGTCATATGACCAAACACGTGCAAATTGTGGAAAAACAAATGCAAAATACACCTGGCTGAGTGTCAAAATTTAGTACATGAGCTTTTTTTGGAGTGGAGGGAGCCTGTTCAAAATGAATGGTGCCACCCCAACAATACACAAAAAATGTGACCCTCCCACATGGAAGAAAAATTATATTTTAAATATGTTTTTAAAAAATATTCTCTCCAAATATATTGACATATATTTGAAATACTACAACATTGGCCATATTCTATAGATATATATAAACTGTATGTTGAAATGTGTTTTTATTACAAAATATTTTTAAAACATTTTCAAATATATAGTGTATGTCTTTTAAAAATACAAATCTACATTTTTGGAATGCATTTACAAATATATGTAAAAATATATGTTAAAATTACTTTTGTAAAAAAAAAAAAATCTGAAGAATATATTTTAAAAATACATATTTTTAAAAAATATTTTTCATATATTTTGTAATATATACTGTAAAAAACACATTTCAACATGCACTGTGTGTGTATGTGTGTATGTATGTAATATATATATATATAAAAAAAATTTAATATATTGAATATGGCCAAAATTGTAGCATTTCAAATATATGTCAATATATTTGGTAAGAATATTTTAAAAATATATTTCAAATATATTTTTCTTCCATATGTGCTGCAGCATCGCTCAGGTGTGAAACAGGGCTTGACTGGAGCCTTACTCTGTGCTAGCCCAAGTACTTCTAGATAGCTTGTATACAAGTTCATACTACCCCAGATGGCTCCACGCTTTGCCATACCAAACAGCATATCCAGTGATCCAAAGATTGTGGATTGCAGCACAACCAGCAGTGTGCATTAACCACTTGCCTACCAGGCACTTATACCCCCTTCCTTACCAGGCCAATTTTCAGCTTTCAGCGCTGTCACACTTTGACAATTATGCAGCACTGATAGGCAGCACTAATGAGGTGGCACAGAAAGGCAGCACTGATGAGCTGGCATTGATGATGGGCACTGACTAGCGGCACTACTGGGTGGCACTGGTGGGCACTGGTGAGTGGCACTGATGGGCACTTGTAGGCGGCACTGATGGGCACTTGTGGGTGGAACTGCTGGGTGGCACTGCTGTACACTGATCATCAGTGCTGATCTCTGCTCTGACAACTGCCGGTTCTCGGCATACTTTTCCTCACACTCTGACAGCGTGAGGAAAGTGCAGCTGAAAACTGGCAATTGCATTTTCCGGTGATCAGCGTGTAACTGGACATGGCTGATCATGTGGTAAAAGGCCGCTGTGATTGGCCTTTTACCACATCACGTGATCAGCTGTGTCTGTAGGACACAGCGATCATGACGGTCGCCAGATGCGCGCCCCCGGGGGTGCACAGGAGAGCGCGTTCTGGGAGGACTTCATATGATGGCCTCCCAGAACTGGCTGGCCGCAGTGCAGCCTTCATTAGGCTACCTGCGGTTGGCAACTGGTTAAGCTCCTATTCACACATGAGCGTTTTGCTGCATGACTCCCACATGGCAACAACGCTCAAGATGAAGAATCCCATTATTCTTAATGGTACCATTCACACCCGAGCGTTATGTCACTTGTCATATGAATCTCAAAAAAGTCATGAGCTTTGGGGCAGAGTCCTTTGTTAAAGGAGATGTCTGAAAAATGCATGTGCACATGTGTGTTTTAAGTGCTCCAATTTAAAACTCTGAGAGGCCAAAAATGTGCATTTTGCACTTCTACTGCAAATCGAGCATAAAAATGTACGAAAAAGCCTCCAGATCACCTACACAGTGCCTTGAAAAAGTATTCCTACCCCTTGAAATTTTTCCACATGTTGTCATGTTACAACCAAAAACGTAAATGTATTTTATTGGGATTTATGTGATAGACCAATGCAAAGTGGCACATAATTGTGAAGTGGAAGGAAAATAATAAATGGTTTTCAATCATTCTTACAAATAAATATCTGAAAAAGTGTTGCGTGCATTTGTACTCAGCCCCCTTTACTCTGACACCACTAAGGCCCCTTTCGCACGGATGTTCTGTTTGTCCGTTTTTCATCTGTCCATCTATGGATGAAAAATGGACACCCTATTCATTTCTATGGACTAGCGGATATATAAACGGATGATCGTCTGTTTACATCAGTTAATGTCCGCATCCGTTAACATCCTTTTTTTTGAATGGCAGAAAACCCTATTTGTCTTCCGTTAAAAAAAATGAAATGGACGAAAAACAGATGTAATCGGACAAAAACGGATGAAAATGGACAAAAAAACGGATGTAAACGGATGAAAAACATGAAAACGGATGTAAACTGATGAAAAACGGATGAAAAAACAGATGGAAACCGATGAAAAACTAATGTAAACTGATGTAAACCAATGAAAAACTGACGTAAACTGATGAAAAACTGATGGGAACTGATGAAAAACTGATGGGAACTGATCTGTTTTTTTTTTCTGCGCTTCTTGTTTGTCAGATTATTGTGCTCTTCTTCAGCCAATATCTTGCTCTTGTCTCTCCTGCGGCTGCTTTTTCGTATCTTCACTACTACTCGTTTGCTGACCTTGGCTTGTTCCTTGACTACACCTCCACTCAGCCCCTACCTGAAACCATTCACTACCAATCTTTTGTTTGTTTTCCAACTACGCTTCCGCTTGATCCCAACCTGCAGCCATTTGTTACTGACCTTTGGCTCCTTTAATGACTACATTTCTGCATGATCCCTAACTGCTATATCTGCTGCTGAACCCAGGCTTGCTCACCTCCTGTGTGGGGTGATCATGAGGACAGTAACCTGCTACTAACATGCAGCAAAACCCACCATCAGGAGCTCTGGTGAATACTGATTAGTGATTGGGTGAGCCTGCATCATCTGCCAGAGTGATCTGCTTGTGTACTTATCTAGCCGGTCGGTGTGAGCCTCTCTATTGCTTCAGCTGCTGCCCACTGAGCTTGACCACTGACCATGACACCCTGGCAGATGGGACACAGACTAGAGAGTGCGACATACCTGTTTCAAGTCTGACAAAAAATAAACTTCTACTCCTGCACTGGACGATAGACTCCACAGCAACTATAACCACACATAGGATGCCTAGAGGATGCACGCCTTACTGCCCTCATGGGATCAGGGGAATCCAAATGAACTGCATGCAAAGAAACAAAAAAAAGGATGCACTGGCCTTGTGAATTACCTTTAAAAAATAATTTATTGTATAAAAGGTGGTGATATACTCACAAAGGATAAAATATCAAAAGGCATATCATGTAAAGTACAGCAAGGACCAATCAAATTGGATGATATCTGTGTTGGGAGCCACAGTGGCTCTAAGGAAGAGGCTAAGCCTTGAAACGCATCAACCATTTGGAGGTCTACAAATCCCAACAGATATCATCCAGTTTGGTCCTTGCTATACTTTACATGATATGCCTTTTGATATTTTATCCTTTGTGAGTATATCACCACCTTTTATACAATAAATTAATTTTTTAAGGTAATGCACAAGGCCAGTGCGCCCTCTCTTTTTTGTTTCTTTCCATGCCTGTTTCAGGTGTCTGATCTGGTGATTGACTTCCTGGAAGATGGAGGTAAGAGAGCCATACTCATCCTAAAAGATGCTAATAGAACCCACTCTGGCACAAATCATGGGCTGCTTAGGCAGCCTGTACAGTGAGGTCAGCCTTGTGGTCGGTCTGTCCGGGAATTGTAATGTCTGCTTCAAGAAAAAGATTGGCAAGGCTGTTCCACTA